TCAATTGTTTTCAACATAGATTTTTTTTTTAATCAATATCTTTAGCTCATGTGCATTTCATTTTTATTTTGTTTCTTGAACAAGTCACCAATTAAAATAGTTTGTCCTGGAAAAATTCCTAAACATGTTTGTTCATTCAGTTCCAATGGCAGTAGAAAAGTGCCTGTTGCAGCGGGCACACTAATCAAAAGACTGGTCTATCTTGCTGAATTTGTGTTCATTTTTCTACTCCTCTATGGCCCACTTAAGAAATTCTGCAACAGATTCACAAAACATAATTTGCGTAAAGTAGAACAAAAAACTAAAACCTTTTTTCAGTTAGGATCATGAAAGGAGGTTTTTATTCCATCAGAATTTTTTTTTGCCATCTGTGTCACATTGTGATGATTTCTATTCACTTCCTGTCTCAGAGCCAAAAGAAGAAGTAGGAGGTAATCCCTCCAAAGTGAGGGAATTCCTGGTTGTTAGCAGAACAAATGTTCTCATTGGAAGATTTCCCCTATTTCTACTGTCCTGAGGACGAAGAGAGAGAGAGAGAGAGAGAGAGAGAGAGAGAGAGAGAGAGAGAGATTTTTTTTCGTTATTGCTGTCTGTGTCCCTACTGGTGAGATCCACCATTACCATTGGTCCAGATCAATTAAATGATCGTTTAATAATTTTTTTCTGGTAGCATTTTTAATTAATACCTTATGTTTTGCAGTGATCAATATTTTAATTGGTGATGAATTGATTTTTTGTGATCACTTGTACCTAAACTGATCACAAATCCATGTGTGTATGGCTCTCTACTCCGAAGGCAGTGCCTGGGGAGAATGCATTATAGATTTGTGTGCACTTTTTAAAGTATATGCACACATTGCTTACTAAGTTTAGCCAACAAGATGAAGTTGAGTTCGCTCGATGTTCTATTTTTTTTTTTTTTAAGTTACTTTGCACTTGATTGTGTATGTAAAATTAAACACAACTTCATTTTATTTGCTATACATGAACATAAACTTTGCAGAGGAAGCATTTGCTTTGCTAAGTGAACAGCTTCTACTCCCTTAGTAAATCAACCCCCAATGGATAGTGATTTGATCATCAATGTAACTTATGGAGGTATTTTGATTACAATCATGCAAAAACATCTTTCATGTATTAAATGTCACAGTACATGAACAAAATGGATATTTTTATGGAAAATATAATTTGATTAATAAGGTGTATATATACAAATACATTTTCACATCTGTGAGAAAGTTTCTAAACTTACCTGGGTATGTTTCTGTACACCCACATAAACAAACAGCAATACGTAACATACGCTTCTTATGCGCTATTAACCTGCCTTGCTAACACAAGCTCAATCAGAAGTTTGTTTTTACTGCTGTCATATTATGTCAGATTGCCATGTTCTAGGTAGATATATCTTTAAAATCATAGGAGACAGCCTAATTCTAAATCCGCACCAAAGCATCCTTCATAACAATACCTGTTCAACACTGCAGGTAACTCACGCATATGCAAAATGCTACAGAGCTCTACTTCACACATTGAGGCTGATTTACCAAAACAGTTGAGAATCTTCATACAATAAATTCACTTCCATTATCCAATCATGTGAGAAGCGATGCCTGTTCACTTATTTCCTCCGCACGTGATTTGATAGTTGAAATGAATATTCACACAAATTACTGTGTGAAGACTCAACTGCAGTCAAAAGTAGTTTATTAAAGCTGCTAGGAGTATCATAGCAATATGTTTTTATCTACATGCTGCACATTCAAAGACAAAAAAACATTGTTAGAGTGATGGCTCATTAAAATTAAGGACATAGGCTGCTGATGTTATCATATCAATAAAAAAAAATGGTTATGCATTTTTACAAATATGTAGCAGAGTGTTGCACTATGACTTAGTGGTTAGGACATTTTGCCTTATGAGATCCAGGATGCAATTCCTACCACAAACACAATGTACATGGAATATGTTGCATGTTTCCTCCCACATTCTGTAAAACCCACTGGCAGATTATCTGGCAAGTGCCCAAAATAATATTATGTATTTGAAGGCAGTTAGTATGTAAGCTAACTCCAAGGGCCAGAAGCAGCCGGTTGAATGTATGCTGAAATATGAAAAAAAAAAATCTCAAAAATGAATACTGTATGTAGAGGAAAACATAAAAATATTTGTTAGCAGTAGTAAGTTTGTATGTGTGTGTATGTTTTTAATAGGTTCCCAGGTATTTATTTGCAGTCTGTATTGTGTGTAGAAAGTAACTTTGCTATCAGCAGTGCGCACAATTCAGTGCTAGGTCACATTCATTTGAAGAAAACAAGAATTACTCAGAGTGTGTGTGTGATAACACACACACACACACACACACACACACACACACACACACACACACACTATTGAGTAAAACACTGCTTAATGAATTATTGTACTTGTCTTCACAAAGTGAAACTTTGATGGGGCAGAAAGTATGCAGTATTTTTTGCTGTAATTAATACAGTATTTAAGCAAAATTACTTTCAGGAAAATTAATATGTACAGGGACAAAACATATACTATTAATGTATATAAAACATACTTCGTGGTAATTTTAATTGTAGTATTAATATAGTAATGTAATTTGTTTATTTAAATGACGCAGTTCCAATTTTAGGTGTGAACTCACAGGGAAACGTGTATTCTTTACTTCCAAATATGTACGATTGACTATGTCAGGCTAGTGTTTTATAATATACTTATTACTCACAGTGACAGTTTTATTTCAGCCCTGAAACATTTATACTTTTTTTTTTTTATTATTGTTTCATGTAAAATATTTTGGCTGAATGCTATTGTTTTACATTTAAAACTTGTCTATCCAGACATTTTTCTTCCATACAAAAATCTGTAAATATTTCTAAGGAAATATAAAACTACACTTTGTGAAAGATAAATCAAAGTTTTTAATACCAAATAGTATGGTGCTATCACAAGGAAAATAAAAACTACCATGTTTGTTTTCTAACCATTTCTTAATATATAGGAATATAGTGGGGCTTTTTTATAAACTGGATCTATAATAGTAAAAATAATATTTATACTGTAACTTCCATAATGTTGCATTAAAAGTTACAGAAACACAATAGCAATAGGATTAGCGAGCATACAATATCAGGTTTACCGTTTTGCTAAAATTATTGCAAACATAATATAACCATTTTGTCAGTTTATATAATTTATTGAAGTTTGCACACAAATTAAAAAAATTTACTGAACATACACAAAGTACAAAATTTAAAACAGCATAATAAATTACCCTCCCATTTCCTGGAAAATAAATCACACAATGATTGTCAAAGCTAGACAGCAGTCATTCTTAAAATTTAGTATTCAACACATAGCAAGCTTTAAAATTATGCTAGATCAAAACAAATCTGCCTATCCATTGATTGTCTTTTCTAAACAAATGTAATTTTATTAAATTGTTACTACAAAAGTATCTAAGCGATGATACATTAATTAAATTCACATCTTCCATTTTTATTTCAGAATGTTTTTGATTTTTAAGAAATACAACGAAATACAGCATACACCTCCCATTTTGGAAAATGCCCCTTATATTAACTGCAATACAATACTGGAGAGTTCTTTTAAATAAATAAATAGACAAATCAGTCTAAGAATAAATAAATACTCTTTATAAGTAAATTTTCCCAATACACATTTTTTTATAACTAAATTTGTGTAGCAGGAGAATGTTGTTATCTTAAGTGCTGGCTAATAAACGTATTGAGTGGCCAGGCACCAAGCTGCTTGGACATAAACCAATCTATGCCTCTACAACATGTCAGCTAGAGCTTCACTCGGGTGTTTTTTTTTTTTTTTTTTTTTTTTTTTTAGATAAATCAACCATAATTAATGGATTGGTTTGTTTTACAAAGTGCCATAATCAGTGTTCTGCTACATTTTGATGCACAGATCTTCTCTATTGAAAAAGTAGTACTGCACATTCAAATTTGTGTAAACAGGTATATTTTCCTGGAAGCAAGGTGTGTCAGATAAAATAATCTAACAACTTATTACTTACAGTGTGAAGGGACTACCCTTTAAATAAAAAAAAAAAACACCCCACACAACACAGTGCACGGTGTTTTTTTAAAAACACCAAGTTGAAATTGTAACAGTTTGTTTCAAAGAAAACATATTCAATTATCTTGCATATATGCAATGTCAATAATCAAAGGAAAAAATAACCATGCATTTGTTATATTAAAATAAAAGCAGCATTTGTATGACATCACCTCATCAAGTTATACAAGGTAAACATTTAAATTTGAAGTTCAACACCTCAGATTCACAATCTTTATATATATATATATATATGTATATATCAAACTAGGCTCTCTCATAAAAATGTGCTGTTAATCCTTTACCATTTACTGGTAATACAAATTGCTCTTATGCAACAGTTTAAAACTCCTCCCAAACTGGATACAAATATGTGAAGATTTTATTATTATTTTTTTTTAAATGTTTAAGAGGTAAGTTTAATTTAATTTAGTAAAGTACCTTTTGTGGATGGACCTATCACTTGTATCACACGGTCATGATTTCTTGACAGTGTGTTACATGCCTAACCAGTAAATTAATTAAAGCCCAATGTCTTCCTGCCAAATAATAAATACTGAAATAAAGGAAATTCCATAACACATTAGCCAGTTTTAATGTTTATATATGAAAATCTTGAAACGTGCAATCTGGATATTTAGTAACTGCAGTTTTAGGGAAAAAAGAGGTTTTCCAGTTTGTATAAGCATTTTGAATACTTACATTAACAAGACAATCATTTTAAATATATTTAGAAAAATGGCTCATTTTATATTGAAGACCAGTAACATCCCAAGTAAATTAATTTTAGCAGAGGGAGAGGCAGTCATGTAATATTTGACAGTGCATAAGTGAATACATGTATAAGCATATACATAGGTTTATAAAATGTGTACGCACATAAGCATGCACATCCTATTTTACTTCCAAAGATCTTGCGAACTGTCTTCTAAGGTCCAGTCTCTCACCGCTGGCAAGCTTAGTGCTTCACTTTTAACAGATAGAGAGTTCACCAGTTCACAGTGAAATTTTCTGATGTGTCTATATAGGTCTCCAGACTGTGTGAACCTTCGCTCACACCATTTACACGCATGTGGCTTTTCCCTTGTATGAACTACAGCATGCCGGCTCAAATTGTGGGAGTACTGGAAACTTTTTCCACACTGAGTGCAAGTGAAAGGCTTTTCTCCAGAATGAGTTCTTTCATGACGTTTAAGTGTGTACATACATGAAAAAGTTTTACCACACAGTGAACAAGTGGGAACGTGGACATCATTAGTGGGCTTATTACGAATGCCATCTTGTTCTCTGAAGTGTGTGCTTAAATGGATTTGAAGAATATGTGGACTTGGGAAAACCTTATTGCAGAGTGGACACATGAAAATTTGTCCTCCAGGATTAAGTATGTTTGAAACAAATGGAAGCAGGCTGTTTTCCATGTTACCTTCCATTGGAACTCTCTCATTCTCTGGAGTCATCATCTCATCATCACTTGCTTTTTCATCGTGATCCAACTCTCTTAAGACAGCATCTTCCCTTACTGGACCCAAGTGAACTGACTCGTACTGTGTCCTTACATCAGTGTTTACGCCTTCTTTCACAGTGCTGTGCTCTACATCATACTCGTTGGTATCTATATCATTTTCATCACAAGAAACTTCTTTTTCTACTTTTATTTGAACTAGACTGCTTCTCATTGTATCTGGTGAAGAAAGGTAGGAGCTGCTTAAAGGATCAGTTCCTGAAACACTGGATTTCACAGAAAGGTCCAAGACACAGTCTGAATCTGCTATGTTCCTTAAGGAAGTGTTAGATCTCATAGATAATGAGCTAGCTGAGCTGCAAGGACTAGGTACTGTTTTTCCAGCTGTTGTGTGTGTTTCAGTGTCTGCACTATTCTGTGTGACGCTTGTTGAATCAGAGGGCATTCGTATCCACATACTCTCAGATTCCACAGTCAAGTCATTTTTACCAGACAGCATATTCAATTTTTCAGCTTCACCGTCTTCATCATCACTCACTAGATCACCTGCCATATGGCTACTACCATCTGAAAGGCTCTCTACTTTATCTGAACAACTTGAATAATCTTCTTCCTTTTTTGTGCTATCTGCCTCTGTTGAAGCTTTTTCTTTCAGTTTCTTTTTGCAGACTTTTACTATGTCATACATGTGGAGATAGCTAGCAGCTGCTAGTACATCTTCAACTGGGAGATCTTTAAACTGGAGTTTTCCTTCATACATGAATTCAAGCAGCAGAGCAAAGGCTGGAGCTGTAACAATGTCACTGTTCAGATTAACAATGTCTCTTTTGTCTAGCTGATCCTTGTAAAAGAGGTGGAAATACATGCTGCATGAAGCCAATACAGCCCTGTGTGCTCGAAAATGGGCATCTCCTACAAGGACAGTGCAATCGCACAGAAATCCCTGATCTCTTTGCTCGCTCAAGCACTGTAGCAAATGTCTGCTATGCTCTGGAAAATCCATACTGTCTTCATAACCTAAACACAAAAGAAAAACAAGAAAAAACAAAACATTGTATTAGAGAAAGGTAGTAATATTTACCAATGCAAAATGACACAATAACCCCTTCTGACACAACTGCTACATAGACCGTAAAAATCTATAGATTAGGAAATATAGAAATAGCTATGAAAATACTATAACACAATGCTTTCTCTTGTCTACCATACACAGAATTTAATTTACAAACATCATAAGTGATGACATTACTTCTGAAATGAATGGGCCCCTGGCAAAAAAAATAAAAAATACAGCAAGGACAACACAAAATCATTTATGAATGTAATTTCTAATACCAAGTTATAAAAGTTTATATTAAAATAATTCCCTAATGTAAAACTATTATATTCTGGTTATAGAACATGCTAAAGAATATAAAGATTAACAATTACAATCACTTTAAGTGCCCCGTAACCCACATCAATCCTAATCCTTAAGAGGGCTAAAAATAAAGATTGGAGGGCAGCTCACAAGGTAGCTGTGATCAAATTAGCAGGCTGAAAGGACAGAGGGACGAAGAAGGAAGCTTATAAACATCTGATCCAGCTGACGGTGGCCATATGGCAGCTGCTGCCCAGATAAAGAGATTAAGAATAGAGGAGTGCGATTACAGCTGTCTGGCCAATTCAAGCTGCTCAAATCTACAAGTTCTAAATTAGTTTGCTAGTAGATAAACCAGTCCAAAGCATTAATAAAAAAAAAAAAAAAAAAAAAAACACAATAAAAAAAGAGAAATATTAATGTTAGGTACATCCAGGAAAGTGTTTGATTCTTACTACCAAGCAAAATGAAAGTGAGATACATGTGGGAAAAAACAAACAATGGTATTCCTAACAAAGCTACATTAAATGTTGCTGCACGTTTATACGTTCTTTGCAGGCTGTTATTTGTTTCAGCTTTACACACATATACATGCAAAAATATTTAGCATTTTGTAAATAAACTGGTAAGCAAGCAAAAGTAATTACTGACTCATAATAATGATACACTTTTACAGATTCAACAGCCACATTCAAATAATGAGCTACACGGAATACAGTAAAAAGTGAATGGCTTAAATAAAAATTTAACTTTTTTGTTTAAATGACAAACACATTTTGTTTCACTGTCATGACTGATATTCAATATATCAAGCATAAATAATATAAGTGCCAACATGTTACATTTTACATAAGACTGATCTAGCAAAAATATTACTTAAAATATACTTAGATCTATGTTCTAAATAATATTAATATTAATATTGTTACATCAGCATTTCCCCCCACCAAATAAAACTATTATGTTCAAACTTACAATGATAATTCAAAGAAACTATTATTTATTTTAAACTAAAAATACAGCATTAAAAAAAAGGTATAAAAATAAATGTTCTTTTTTTTTTACCATAAGTCCTACCTTTTTTATACATAGACCTGTATTATGATCCTGCCTCTTAGAAGTGCTGTATGATGGCTGTAGAGATCGGCTCAAGAAAGAAATTAAAAACGAAAAAAAAAAAAAAAAAAAAAAACCTGACAAACAGATGCAAAGTGGAGAGGATGTTAGAGAGGAATAAGATACCTTTTCCCCACACAGCTCTGCACACACTAACTCCCTGGCTGTGTGTTAGAATAAAAGGCTGAGGGATGGCAAGCTGTCAGCTGCTCTGACATCATGTTCAGATGGAAATGCTACCTCCAGCTGTGCTCCTTTTAATGCCATATGCTGCTCCTCTACACTCCTGCCACCAGCTTTTTCTTTGGAGAACTTTTTTTCTTCAGTTTGTATAAACAAAAACTTCAAAGTTTCCTCTTCTCTAAACTTTCTTCACATACCAACTTAACATATGGACTATTATAATTATGGAATTTTCTAACAACTTCACACCATTCTTGATGGTTTTATGCATGGAAGGTATGCACTCCCACAACATGCTGCTTAAAAATATATTTTAAAAAATGTATAGACATGTGACTATACCAGTTTTTTCACATTCCTATTTTTCCTTGCAGTTCCTGCCTGTAAAAATTAGATACGTTAATTTATATTTCACAATTATACTAGTATATGTATAAAAAGGTAGTTACAGCACACTAATATTTTTAAAATATGACTACAAATATATATATAGTTTCCTTCACATGTAGAAGTAGTGTTCCTCTGATAACAATAAAGGGCGCACTGGTGATGAGTGCGTGAAAAAAAAAAATCAAGTTCTTACTGCATGTGGCTGATGAAATAGCACTGCAACCTTTTACAGTAGGTGCACATATCTCTATTGTGTTCATAAGCCTCACATCTGGGAAAGCCACATAAACAAACACTAAATATTAGTTAAGTGAATTGTGACTTGGCTTTTTAATTGGTGTCAAAATAGCTGGTGCTAAAATTATCTAAACAACAGACTTTAAAAAAAATACTGTTTAGACATTAAGACGGTGTATCTGTTTGCACTATAAAAAAAAGGAAAAACTTGCTATGTGACTTGCCTGTGCTTAATTTATAGAAGACAGTAACACCTTTCTTATATTAATTCATCTTTGCACATTTTCTTGTGGTAATTTTACAGAATACAGTATCACCTTGAAATGGTTAATCTGAAAAAATTTTTATTCTCTTATAATAATTAATCTTTACACATTCTCTCATGGGTAAAGCACATAGTTGAAATTTGTGTATTGGAAAAATACTCCAACATGACAGGACTCTGGTATTTTTTTTTTACTATATTAAGAAAATGCCGAAATAAGAGTTTTGTGTATTAGACTGAAATCAAACAAACAGATAAGTGATTAACAATCAGTACATATAAATAAAAAAAATATAAATATATATATATATATATATATATATATATATATATATATATATATATAAAAAAAAAAAAAAACCTCATAGCAATATAGTAAATCCCTCATTCAATAGCATTAACCAAATGCTGCTGGAAGATGTGATGAGTGTTGAACACTGAGCAAAGGGATAAATGCCAATGCAGATACATGATCATATCGAGTAAGGAAGAATTATACGAAAGAATGCTACTAAATAAATATATGTCCTGCTATGCGATAAATTAAAAGATCAAAGCCAAAATATAGTCTGCACATATTTAGTTGAACGGTGTATAATATACCTTTATCATTAAACTAAAATAAGGGTGGTATGAAAATTAAATTTCATAGAAAAGCATACTATAGCTTTAGAGTAAACAGTGTGTTCATGTTTAGCAAGGTGGCTTTCATCGCTGCACTAAAGGCACTCAAACACAAGCCGGTGGTGACCTGCAGTTTTCCCTCGCACACTGCAGTGAATGAGCACATATAGCTTGTCCATATTTATGTGCTGGAGAACTGCAATCTGACCTGCAGTTTTCTTCACAAAGATGTCTATACGTAGCCTGTAACATGCTGCATGCCATATTTCTAGAGCAACCTAGTGTAAAACTATGCCAGAATTGTGAAACCAGTCACAAACATTTAAGAGTGAATTTTATGCAATAAACATATGTTTAAGGCCTCATTCACACATTTGCCGCATGTTGCATTAAGGCAGCCATTTTATTTTGAATAGGCTTCCAATGCACCACAAACCAAAGCATTCACTTTTTGGTAATGCACAATGCACAGATGGTTCCCATCTGCGGACTGTGGTGTGCTGCAAAGCACGTTCATTGTGGTGCGTTTAGAAGGTGAATGGCACTGCAACGCACATTGTGCATTACTATGCACTGCATTAATGCAAGAAAAAAAATATGTATTTTAGTGTGCATTGCCACAATTCACAGATTTCACTCCAGTCCAGGGGCCCATTTGCAACATTTTGCTGTTGTAACCTGCATGTTAGGGCGTGTATTGCTGCAATGCATAGTAAAGCACATTTCATCGTGAATGGCACCCTAAAGCACCTTAAAAGTGCATTTGCACTAAAATGCACACAGTGTCCTGTGTGTTGCACTGCAGGAAAATTCAGATTGCCCTATTTTTGTATGCATTGTGGGGAGTTTTAGTACATTCATTTTGAATGTGCAGTTTAATGCACAGCAATTCAAATCAATGACTCTAATGGGGAAATTTACAAATACTGGAGCACTCAGAATCTGGTGCAGTTGTGCATGGTAGTCAATCAGCTTCTAAGTTCAGCTTGTTCAGTTAAGCTTTGACAATAAAACCTGGAAGCTGACTGGTTTCTATGCAGAGCTGCACCGGATTTTGCGCTCTCCGGTTTTAGTAAATAACCCCCTAAGTGTTCACATTGATGTGCCAGTGATGTTTTCATAAGAGTACCTTGGTTTGTGCTGAAAACCCCCTAAGAACCACAATATGATGATCATTAGGTTAACTGAATGCTTAAAGTAAGCACTTGTTCACACCAGCCCCATTGGGTTGCATCGGGCAGCGTTCACTAACATAATCCCAATATACAGACAAGACAATCTACCTTATGTCTTAATGTTTCAGTTCACACCAACACACTGGATGTGCGCTGGAAAAAAAGGAAGGTTACATTTCTATGCAGTGCAGAGTGTTGTGACATGCTGCAGCATATCAAAACACACTGTCCATAGAGTTGAATGAAATTTTGTGACAATTCCATAGTTATTAAAAAAAAAAAAGAAAGTGAGATGCATTGTAACAATTCAATGCACACCAGAAAGCTTGCATTACATGTAACAAAGTGCACCCTCTGGTGTGGATGGGCCCCAACCCTTTTCATTTTCCAAATTTAAAAAAATGGCAAGATGAATCAGAAGAAACCTTTACTGAATCAGGCCCCCATGCTGTGTGCTCACCATTGAATCCCCTAGAAAATGTTTACTCTGTGCTCTGTCCAAGTAGGAATATCTTACGGAATTGGGGACAGGCAAGTATAAGAATAGTAGGGGGAATACCTGTTGTGCTCCTTAACTGTGACTCGCCAGTGCTCTGGCTACTGTATTGTTTGTTGTTTTGCACCTCAAATTTCATAATAAAACAGATTGAAAGTAAGGAATGGTAGG